GGTTTGTCTCAGTTGTCTCTGCATTCCATCTTACTATTACTTCAGTGATCAGGCCTTTGTTGCTTACAGTCTTGAAATACCCTCTCCATATCTTCAAATCTCCCTAGGTACTGCTGTAAAATTGTCTTCAGGGAAGAGCAAAGCAAGAATTTTTACTGGTTTCTCAAGGTATTTTGAAATTTATAGACTGTTGTAGAGACATACCGTTGTCCTTTACAAATCTAAATTTTCAGAAAAGGCACCTTTTTTTTTTAAGATTTATTTTATTTTTATTGTGCAAAGTCAGATATACAAAGAGGAATATCTTCCATCCGATGATTCACTCCCCAAGCAGCTGTAACAGTTGGCCTCAGCAACTGAGCCGATCCGAAGCCAGGAATTTCCTCCAGGTCTCCCACACAGGTGCAGGTCCCAAGGCTTTGGGCTGTCCTGCTTTCCCAGGCTACAAGCAGGGAGGTGGATGGGAAGCTGGGCTGCTTGGGACTAGAACCTTTGCCCCATATGGTTCAAGGCAAGGACTTGAGGCACTAGGCCACCACGCCAGGCCCAAGATAAGGCATCTTTAGTGCAAACTAATTGTAATGTGATCTTTAGAATGGATGTGGATTTCTGTCCAAGCAGTGGAGGGACACTTGCTCAGCCTTTGCAAATGGCAATGAAGCACTGTTTCAAAATAAAAGCAAAACACACACACACACACACACACACACACACACACACACACACACACACTCATGCACGCACAGGTTTCTACTCTGAGGGAAAACATGTTAAGATTTTCCATCTGCTGGCTCACTGCCCAATGGCCACACTGCACACTGGCCCGGGCCATGCCAGAAGGCAGAAGGCAGGAATTTTGTTCAGGTTTTCCGCTTGGATGGCATGGTCAAAAGTTGTTGAGGCCATTTTCTGCTACTTTCTGAGGCATTCTACTTCTCTGACTAGGGTGGGGAAGGCTGAGGAATGCGCTAGGTGGAATAAATGTTTTCATTCTTTTTTATTCTCTTGGTCTGCTGGAGTGGTTGGGGGAACTGCTTCTTCTTTCAAACTATTTCGTACCCAGGGATGGGAGATAGTCATTTGATGATGCCTTAGAGACCCTGATGTGGAGAAGAATGTTCCAAGGCATTATGTGAATAGTTTTGATAGTGCTTATATGTCATCAGTTTCATTTCATTAGGGTTGAGAAAATCTTTCCAAGGTCTATTGGCTGACAAAGTGCATCTTAGCACATTCACAGACCCATACGCTTGCTGCAAAGCTTGGCCAGGAAAAGTATCCAACCTGTTGTGTTTTCCGTCCTCTGATGAGGCACTCAACATCTGCTGCTGACCTAAATGAGCTGTCTGTCATGTCTTCATGTGAATCTGGGATATGCTGCCCATCCCACAGGCATCAGTAACTGAGGAAGCCCTTTCCTGATACATGCACTGTAAGGTTGAGTCATACATTTTGTTTTTTTCTTGTGGCTAGGATTTGAGTCCAGCCATCTAGTTGATGAATCCTCCCAAAAACCTTGCTTGAGGTGACCTCACACTTGATTCTCATGTGTGCCAACTAGTGCAGGATCAGGTTCAATCTGTTACCTGCAGCAGCCAGTGCACATACTGCTGAATGCAGTGCCTGGTCAGTTTCACCCCAGTCCTATCTCTCATCTGAACCAATAGATGCTGTGGCCTAGCCCAGCCCAGCCTGCCACAGTCCTGGTCTTCACACACACCAGCAGGTGTTAGTCGGCTTAGCCAGGGAGACTTTCAGTAACCTCCACCAGGCCCACCTCCAACCCCTGCTTTTATATATACCAACATGCCCCGCAGCCTAAGCCAGTCAGTCCCATATCCCTCCTAGCTCTCATATAAACCCATGGGTGTTGTGGTTTGTTAGCTCAGCCTGACTACCCTCAGAGACAGTATGAATATATTCTAATGAGTGGTATTGTCTTGACCTTGTCTGCCGCTGGCCTTGGTGCTCATGTTCACCAGTGGAAGCTATTGCCCAGCAGGCAAGTGCTCATATAGACCCTACCAGGCCCATTCCAAGATCTTGCACCTCCACGGGTTACTGTGGTCCAGCCTGACATGACTTGCATCCAGTCCTGGTACTTGCCAGCTGATGCTGCAGCCTAGCCCAGCTGACCCACGTCTTTTTTGTTTTTTCTCTCTCTCATGCCAGTGGTTGTGTCAGCCTAGCCCAGCCTGGCCTGCCCCTGGACCTAGCCCAAATTCCAGATGATGGGTACTACAGCCCTGCCTGGACTGGCAAGTCCCCAGTTCAAGCTCTCACACTCACCAGTGTAAGCAACAGCTTGGCAGCAGAATCTCTGTCCCCTACCAAGCCTACTCCCAGACCTGGGTCTTTTACTTACCAGCAGGAGCTGCAGCCTAGTAGAGGAGTGCCTCAAGTTACCCTACCAGGTCTTCTCCAAGCCCCAGACCTCATGCATGCTGATGGGTGCCATGTCCCTACTTGTCACCATCTGCCCATAGTTCTTATATATGCATGCACCTGTGGGTGCTGCAGGCTGGCCCAGACCAGCCTCTTTTAAGCCATCGCTTCTGCAAATGTCAAGTAAGATCCTATCGGGTAATTTTTATGGTTAAGCCTGGCTTATCCTATCACTACCAGCAGCTCTTGTGCAAACCAGTGAATGCTACAGTCCCACAGAGGCAGGCCCACAGTTCCCCTATAGAATCTGCTGCCAGATCTAGTTCTCTTGTGTTCTGGTGGGTACTGTAGCCCAGCCTGACAAGGCCTACCCACTTGTAGCCTGACACTTGTGGGTGGGTACTATGGCCTAGCACAGCCAGGCATACCCCTCAGCCTCAGCTTCTAAATGTACTAGTGAGTATCAGGCAATGCCATTTATCCCATCCTGAGTACCTCATGATTGGGTGTCTTGGCCTGATCCAGACATGCCTTCCAGTTTCCCCTGTCTAGATCACTCTATCCCGGCTCCCTTGCCTATCTCCAGGTGCAGTGGCCTGGCCCATGGAAGACCCCAGAAGTCATTCCTCCTCTGTCAAACATGCCCTCAGCTGCTCCCACTCCAACACATCCCCAGACTCCTTTAGGGGGAATCTGCAGCCCTCCTGCCTGGGGACCAGAGTGGCATGTCCTAGCCTCGGGATCCCTGCCTTCTCTACATAGCTTTTAAAAAGAAAAAAAAAAGGGAGGGGGTGGGGAGGCAACTATGCCCAGAATTCCCAACAGCTGTTAGCTGCATTTTTCCGGCAGTGTAACACCTGCCTGGGTGCAAGGCCAACTCGGCAGTTGCCTGCAGCAGGTAATCTCCTGGTTTCTCATAAGAGCAGATAACACCCTGCTCTTGTTTTCTAGTATATAATTTAGCATGAGCAGCTCCATTTTGCTTTCATCTGTTAGGCCTGAAACAGGAGCTCATGCAAATCTATGACCTTCTATACATTCTAGTGGACACTGGGTGTAAAAGCAGCGGCCATGAGATTGTGGAGGATTCCCATCATGGTTGTGTTAAAGAATGCAGGACAGGCAAATTCAGGTCTGGAGGAAGGCCATTACTGTCACCATACCCTGATGTTAATCTGCATTGCTTCTGGAGGCTAGGCCACTATCCATTTCCCTAACAAAGCTTCAACCTGCAATCAGTTTTCTGATCTATATCTGGTCCTCATGAAATCTTCAACCTGTCTCCAGTGGCTTTCTCCTGTCAGGGAAAGTGAAGCATGTGAATAGGCCCTTTGTAAACAGGGAAATGAGAGGAAAGAATGATGAGGCAATAGAAGGACAAAGGGAGAGGATGTGTGATGAAACTGACATGTGCAGAAGAAGAAGGAGAATGAGAGAGAGAGACTGGCATTTGGAGGTGTGGGATAGGAGACTTCATTTTTGAGAGAGTGGCTGGCCAGTTCTTAAGGAAATGTATTGCTGTTTCCTCTTTTTAAAAATTAACTAGTTCATTAATTTTATTGGGAAGCAACTGTACAGAGAGAAGGAAGAAAGACCTTCCATCTACTGGTTCACTCCCACGTGGCTGTGGTGACCAGAGCTGAGCCAATCTAAAGTCAGGAGCCTGGAGTTTCTTCTGGATTTCCCACATGGGTGCAGGGTTCCAAATTTTGAGTCATTCTGTATTGCTTTCCCAGGTCACAAGCAGAGACCTGGATGGGAAATAGAGCAGCTGGGACATGAACAGGTGCCCATATGGCATTCCGGTGCATGCAAAGTGAAGATTTAGCCTCTGAGCAATTGCTCTGGCTTTGTTATCTCTTTTCTAATGGGAACCTGTATTTGGCTTAGTTATGTGATTTGAATGATTCGAATTCCGGGTTATGAAACAGTCGTTGTGCAGCACTTGTTTGTCTATGTATGCTGTATGCACCTTCAAGGACAGAGTCACTGCAGCTGGAAACAGATATTTCTGATGTCCCTGCCCCATCCATGTCTATTTATATGGAATACAAGCCTTCCCAGATACCAAGACAAATGCATCTAGGGATTCATGTAGCTCAAGAAGCCTCAAGCGCAAGACTGGTCCAATAGGAGGCATACCATTAATTTGGGGATAATCACATATAATCACCCTGTGCTCCCCAGCTGTGTTGTTCCACTGAGAACCCCAACATGGCTCAGAACCCAAGGTGAACATACAGGATTTTAAGGGAGTTTCCCTGGTTAACCAGTCCAGTGACAAACCTGCTAACATTTTCAAGAACAAGAGTCTTGTTGATGACATGGGAAAGGGCTTCTGGCGAGGATGACATGAGGACATACATGCACATCACTCATGGAAACCACATCCAATCCTAGTGGGTGCTAGCTACCCTCTTCTGGCCTGTCCACACTCTGCTCACTGCACTCTCCAGCCAGTCTTCTGGCCTGGGGAAGCCCACATGCACTTGGGGAAGTGCATATTACAGCAATCACACACATTCCACCTTAGGCATAAAAGCATTATTTATTCTTTTAATTGAGCTGCAGGTAGGATGAGGAGTCTCACTTAAAAAGCAGGGCTTTGGCATGGGAGACTGGGGTTCAATGAACAGGCAAAGCTCCAGAGTCTAAGAGGACCACAGTGACTGAGGACCAGCCTATGAGACTGAAAAGAGCTGAAGCCAATCACCTTGCATGCCGTGTGCTGTGTGATGGAACCAGACAGCTCTGACTGGGAATGACTGGGGAGGTTTGTGTTGGTTAGAGGAAGACAGCCAGTTGGTCCTGGTGTGAAAGGCAAGCAGGGGTGCCTGACTCGTGTCCCTGCCACTTTCTGAACGCAGCCAACATGGAAGGGCTGTGCAGACATTGCCACACAACAGCGCATGCCCATCCCTGCCATCCTCACATCACTGCGTCTTTGTCTTCAGGGTCTGCCTGTGCTGTTCCACCAGGGAGCCAATCCACTCTGTGGTCTTCTGCTTGGCTTCCTCCCAACTGAAGAGTGGCTCATAGCCCAGATCTCGCCGAGCTTTCTGGTAGGAGAAGGTGAACACGCTATTGCACAGTGTCACCAAGTGGCGATTGAAGGGGGGTTGATAGTTGTAAATTGGAGCCAGCAGGAAGCTCACTAACTCCAGCAGGAAGGCAAGCCAGTACTGCAGAGACAGAGGCAGGCTGGGTGTGGAATCGAGGCAGAGGCCCCACTTTCGGCTCAGCGTGTAATTGAGGTTGTCATAGCTCTGGTGAGGAGTGTTGTCTGCAATGTAGTAGAACTTTCCCTGGATGTTTGGAGCCTTTTGGGGGTCCCGTAGGACCCTTGAGGCCAGAATGTGAGCCCAGGCTACGTTGCCTACATAGACCGGGTTGGCTATGGAGAACTTACCACTACGTACTATGATCCCATTGTTTTTCAAGGACGCATTTATAATAGAAGCAGTGTTTTGGCTTCCTTCCCCATAGATGTACGTGGGCCTCAAAGCACAAGTGTACAATGTGCCACCATTTTTGAGAGTGTCTCCATTGGCTGCCAACACTGCCTTCTCAGCCAGCTTCTTGCTGTGTGGGTATGGAGCAGACCATGTGCTTTCGCGATGCTCTCCCTCATGGCCATTCCTGACGATTTCCTTGTATGAGTTGGGTCCAGCCACTTCCATTGAGCTGGTGTAGATGAAGAAGGGCACACTGGATCGAACACAGGCTTGCAGCAGCAGCTGGGTACCTGCCGCAGGGAACAAGTCATCGTTCTCAGGATACAAAGTAGGAGTGCTCTAACTTCACCCCAGTGACAGAAGTGAGTATTAAATTATTAAAATTCTAAAAGGTGCCCTTCCCTTTCTCTTGCTAACATATATCCATTCTGCAGTCATAGGAACACCACAAACCTGAGAAATATATGCACACTATGCTGTCTGGGACTCTTGGGCTTTTTATTTTTGTTTAAGTTTATTCATGTGTGTGTGTGTGTGTGTGTATAAAATGTGTGTGTTTTCTTTATGTTTTACTTTTGGAAAAATGTTGCATTGCTAGCTTACATGTTTGTAAACGAAGACATCAAAATCACCATTTGTCCTCTTTTTCTCCTCACAGATACCACACTTCAAGATTTTGTGCAATCCTGACCCCGCACCACCCAAGGACACTACTTGGTTTTCATCATAATTGTACCCACAGCATCATGCACAGGTAACATGCACTCTCAGTATACTTCAAATAACATATACTCCGATATACTTCAACTAATTGTGTTTTCCTCATTGACCATTAAGCAGTTGGGTCACCGGGATTTTGGGGGGAAAGAGGGGCAGAGGAGGTGGTGTCTGAACAAAGGGTTAGTGAATTATGAGCAAATGAAGGTTCCAGAGTTTGTTTCTCACTGCACATTCCTTCTGTAAGCCTACTCTTCATTTAGCTGTTACTATGCTTACCACTTTGGGACACTAAAGGTGACAAGCGTTCTTACACCTTCGGATCTAGAGCCCTGCACTAACTTCTCGTGGCAGGTGGAGAACTGAATGGAAGCTGTCATCTCCTGCTTGTGATCCCTGTAACATGAGGATGTTGAGGATTTCTTGTGGCTGTGCAGACTGAAGCTCACAGCTGAACTGAGGCAGCTGCCCTTGAGAGAGGACATCCCAGTCAATGCACCACTTCTCACATATGCACATGTGTGTTCACATGTGTCAATGTCATCTGGCAACCCTTTCACCTACAAAGTGTGCTGCAGACAGTTTTTCTTTTCTTTTTTTTTTTTTTACAGACAGCCTGTTTTTAAAATCTTTTTGAGTTGCTTGGTTATTTTTACAAAGTAAGTGTAGTGGAAGAGAAAATTGGGGTTTGTTTACTTTCAAGAGGGAAGACGATCATCGTTGTAATCTGGTAGTGCTAGCGGGTATAGCAAAAAGATACCTCCATCATTTTGCCTTCCTTTTCACATCTCTAACATCTGACAGCAGTGTACAGCAGAGGCTAAACACTGACAACGGGTTCTCTTTGTACATTTCTCATGGGGTGTGTTTGAGTAGGTACAAGCAAGGGCCCCTTTCCTGCATGGTTCTGGAGCCCTAATGCACTTGGTTGTTTGAGAGCACAAGTCAGTGAGTAGAGTCAGTTTGGAGGGCAAAGCAGGTAGGTTAGAGGGGCCAGGGTTTGGATGATGCAATACTCGAAAGCTGGTTTCCAGATATCAATGGGGTGGTGTCACCAGCTAGGACACTGGGTCTTGTGTCTAGAGTTCAGATACATTGGAAAGCCATGCTTAGAGAAACTTCAAACCTTTGAGGGTTGATGGTTTATTGCATACGTCCGTGGGCATTTGGATAGAAACTGCTGCTCAGTTTCTAGTGATGAGATGGAGAGCTAGTATTATGGACTTTTTTGTTGTTGTTGTTAAGAAAATGATTCCTGTATCATGGCAGAAAATTTTGAAGATTAAAAAAAATAATCAAAATGTTTAGAAAAAATGTTACGAGAAGTCATATGCTGTATAGTTCTGTCCCGGTGACCCCTTTATTTGAGGTGTGAATATCGTTGTGGAAGTTCTCATGAGTCTCTACTTTAGGACTAAGTGCATCATTAAAGAAGCACCTGTAAAGTTTGTTCTGGCTCAGGTGTGACAAGTTGTGGTTTGATGTCACATACTTTGAATTGGAGTTTAAATGGATGTTTTACTAGATTAGCAACAGAAATCTTTCCTGACCCCAGGGTCACACAAGTGGGAGTTTATACTATAGCTCTCCTATTTACCACTTTTGATGCCTTGGACACATTACTTGCTATTTTCAGCCCAGTTTCCTTGTCTGTCTGAATCACAGAGGATAATAGCTTTGAACTCTTTCTAATGGGAGTAAGAAGTAAAAAGCGCACAGCACCTCTTCCAGGTGTGGAAGATCATCTTCCCTTTGCTATTTCCCTTCTTCATCTTCTCACCTGATCCATCTCTTTTTCAGGTTGCTCTTACCTTTCAGATTGACATCCATGATGACGTCTCTGGGAATGACACCTCTGACATCAATGAGACAGGCAGTGTGGATGACAACGGAGATGCCCTGGCAGGCTGTGACGAGGCACTGCTCATCCAGAATGTCTTCTTCCAGCATGGTCAGCTTGATCTTGTTCTTGAGCTCTGTGTAAACACAAGGCAGGATGTGTGGAAGTTTTCTTGCGTGCCTGGGAAGCTTTCATGGGAACGGGAGCATTTCCTGAGGCCTTCAAGGACAGTTAGAGTTGAGGTATACCGTGCTGGGGGCACACTCTTGGCAGGTCCAAGACAACGAAGACACTGAGATCTGATTGTGCAGCATTTCTGGGGAGGGAATAAACATCTAGGGGCTGGAGTTGTGTTGCAGCAGGTTTGGCCGTTTTCTGCAAAGCCTGCTTCCCATATGAATACTGGTTTGTGTCCCAGCTGCTTCCCTTCCAACCTTGTTCCTGGCCATACACCTGGGAATGCAGCCAGAGATGTCCCAATTATTTGAGCACCGTCTATGTGTGTGGGAGATTCAGATGGAATTCCTGCCTCCTATCTTGGACCTCAACCAGTCCTGGCCATTGCAGTGTTTGGAGGGAGTGAATCAGTGTATGGATGAGCCATCTCTTTGTCTCGCTGTCTCTGTGACTTTGTCTTTCAAATAAATACGTTTGGTGGGCTTTTGTTTTTAAGTTTAAAAAAAAAACCACAAAGATCTTTTTCCATTTCTGTTCATTCTGAAAAGGAATCTGAGAAACAAGCTAATGTTGCTAGAGCATAAACATTATTAAAGAAAATTGTGGAACATTTTTCAAGTTGGGTAAAGAAGTGGGGTGGTTGTGCAGAGTTGGATATAAGAATAAAGAACTTAAATTTGATTTTGTGTGGAGCAGAAAATCATGTGTAGATTTGCAGTAGGATGAGAACTAGAGAGAGTAGTGTAGGATGTCAACCTTAGTCTCAGAGTATCAAGCATACTAGTATGGAGTCATAAGAAAGCAAGCTGATCCTGGGAACATGTAGAATGTCCCTGGCAATATAAGGAGGGCTGCGGTATTGAGTAGCAGAGGAAATGAGAGACAACCACACTTTAGGCTTTCTTTGGAGAAGTCCTAATGCTCACTGGGCTGAGAAGAGAAGGATTCCAAGTCAATCCTGATATTTCTTGTTTGGACAGAGGAGAGTAAATCCATATCCAGGAATTTAGAAAGGGCTCAATGGTACACTTAGTGGAAAAAATTCTACATTATATATATATATATGTATGTATAAAGCAGATAGTAATGCTGAAAATGAGTCAGCTAGAGCCAGATTTAGAGTGACAATTCAGGAACAATAATTCCTTGTTTAGATGCATCCAGAAGCAGTTCCTCTCTTTGAACTCTGGTTAATTCTGTCTACCTCCAGCCCCTTCCCACAAACACCTCCTGCAAGGTCCTGATGACAAGAGGGGAGGAAGAGGCTGCTGGGAAGAGCTGGGGAACCACTGCAACTGAGATTTTCTCTGGTTGTTCCTCCCTCTGATTCCCTTTCCCTTCCTGTGCTGACATCAGATGCAGGCTCAGAGGGATCACTGTGTCAGAGCAGAAGTCCAGAGTCCAGAGAGAAATGGGGACCTCCCTGCATCAGTTCTGGGAATCCTGAAAGCACAGGAGCCAACACACTGGCTGTGTTGCTGAAAGAGCCTGAGTGCCTGCCTTCTCCCGGCACTCGGCACTTGGCAATGAAGTCTATGAAGACTGCGTCAGCAATTGCCTTGAGTATGAGCTGTGTTAGAGAGAGGCCCAGAGAGACTGTGAGTTCCAAAACAGCAGGACTGCCTGGTTTGCAATCCATCTTGTGTCTGTGGGAACATGGACAAGTGAATGGACCCCTCCGGAGCAGACTCTTCATCTACGAGAAGGAAAGGTACTTCTTCTCATAAGGTTCTTACAAGGAGCAAATGAATTGACAGATGAGAAGAAAGTAGTCCGGTGGCTGCACAGAATGAACAGCCACGATTTTCTGTTACTGTCTTGATTCTGGAGCCTGTCTACCCACTTCACTCCTGATTGCACCAACTGGAAGCTGTTCCCTTTGCTGGCGTGAGATGTGAGATAGCAAATACTGATGACTCATGAGATGACAATAGTTAATATTGATCCTATGTTAATATTTGTTTACCAGTGAAACAACTGAAGCAGACAGGAGGAATCCAGCAATCAGCAGAAGAGAAGAGAGTTAAAGAAAGTAGAGTAGGTAGTTCCTGAGTGCAATGCAGGGATCCTCATTAAATAGGTGTGCTCATGTGGGGCCCTTTGCCTGTGTGGACTTTGAGGGCCTCATTGTCCAAATGGGTGGTAGCCCCTGCTCTTGTCCCCGTCAGTTCCTCGAAGAGAAAACTGGTGTGCAGGAAACTCTCCAGTCAGATTGTTTTTGTTTGTTTGTTTGTTTTGTCAGGTCTTTTGTTTGTGTCAGAGAAGCAATTTGGGAAAGGAATGGTGATCTGTTCTAGCCACATCTGAGGCCCCGTTGTTGTGGGATGAGGAGCAGGGAAACAGGAAGAGATGGACAGGGACTCCAGGGAGGACACTTCTGAGCTGTGCATTTCTCACTGTGGATCTGACTCTGCTTTGTGTATTTGAGCCTGTTCTTTTTAGGATGCTTTCTAGGAGCTGGTGTTCTGGTTTAGTGGGTTAAGTCACTGACTGGAATACTGGCATCCTATAAAGATGCTGGTTGGAAACCCAGCTGATACACTACTGAGACAGCTCCCTCTAAAGCACTTGGGAAAGCAGTGGACAGTGGACCAAGTTCTTGTGCACTTGCATTCTCCTGGGAGACCTGAAAGAAGCTCCAGGCTTCTGACTTCTGCCTGACTTAGCCTTGGTCATTGTGGCCATTTGGGCAGGGAACCAATAAGTGAATGATTCTCTCTCTCTCCCTCTCTCGTTTCTTTCTCTCTATGACTCTTCCTTTCTAATCAATAAAAGCAAATCTTTAAAAAAAAACTTTTTCCCATTTCACAGATTTGTACATACACATTCTTACACACCCACACTCAATTCTACTTTTACTTCCTTTTATTTTGTTTTCACTTAATACACCATAGAAGTCACAAAAACCTAACACAATGAAGACCCAAGGAAATTTTCCGAGGTAGAAACCCAGTGCCCAGACCACAAGGCTGTAGGTACTCCAGAGCATGAGAACTGTGGATACGGCAGGGGAGTGAAGTGTGAATTTCTCCATGAGAAGTGTGAACTAGAGGTGGGAGTGCTAGCCTGCACTCCCTCTCTCCAGCTCTAGATCCTGCCATGGTTCTGTCTCCTACACCCACTCCAGGGTCTTTCATACTATGCTTTCTGTGAGTTGCTTAAAGATGACTATGAACATGAGATTAGCCTTGGTGTTGCTACAACTTTCCTAAATTTTCTGACAAGGACTCCCTTCCCATATCCACACAGAGTATACAATGGAGCCCGGCATCCAAGCCTTGAGTCACTTACTTGAAAATTCCTCCTTCACTTCTGGTTCAAAGACCTTGTCCAGGATCCTGAGCTCCTGAAGCCCCTTCTCCTGGACGAGCAAGTGGACGATCCTCCGACCCAGAAACCCTCCTGCTCCTGTCACGAGGCAGCTCCACTCAGTCATGGCCAATTCCAGGTGCAAGGAAACAGGTGCTGGGAACCAGAAATTTCTGGGTAGAAGATCTGATTCAGCAGACCCTGTAGTAGGCTGGAAAGTGTGATGAAATAAACAAAGTCAGAGAAAATGCATTCACTCATCATCCTCCCCCCAAATTCATTTGTATAAAAATCGAACATGCTCAGCACCACAAATAGTTGAAAGGAAATTAAAATATGCTAACCTTTTCAGTTCTTAAACACCAAACAGAGGAGTTTGGGCGCTGGTCTCTTCGTCCTCCGAGGCAGAACTGGAACTTTATGTATTGTCGCCTCTGGCTCTGCCAATCACCTTGAACTCTGGCTACATATTCATTGCTGGTTCTTTCTTTAGTGGCCCTCCTCCGGAAAGAGTTATGATCTTTGATTTATTTCTTATTCCAGTGCCAGGGTTCTCATTATGATAAAGAGACTTGGTTTTCAGCCTCAACAGGACCCTCAGTAGTTGATATCAGATCTCTGACATCCACAGCCGGTGAACTTAATTTAGGCAGCGATCCCTCTTAGCATACAATGAGAGTTTTGGCTTTGTCTACTGTATATTTCTAGAAAGAAAAAATATTGTAGCACACCGTATCCTTCCTCACAATACCCTTTGAACTGCTGTCATGTTGCAATGTTCAGAGATTGTCAATGATGGCAGGGCTAATAGCAGGGTTTAAGAGAGGTATCACTGCTTGAAGACATCTAGGTTTCTGAAGGTAGAGCTTTGTCAAAAGAAAACTGCATATTGATAATCTGCTAGTTATTTGGTCTACAGATTGGTAAGTATGTGCTAAAGTGACTTAACATTTTCCTTTTTTATTTTTTATTATCATTTTGTGAACAGTCCCCTGTATATAGAGTTTCCTATATATCCCCCCTCCCCAAATCCCACCACCACCACCACCAAATTCCCCCATATGATTACAATAGTGTAGTTTCTCATAAACAGTCATAAGTCCATCATTGCAGGCATTGACTATGTCGGAGTCCAGCATCCCACTGTCTTGACACATTCAACAGTTTCACTGGGAATTCATCCTCAATTTGGAAGTAGAGATGCACACACATGTCAGTCTTGACAACACAGTCAATATAAATTCCCCCAAGTGAAGAGTCATAAAACAAAATCAACAATAGGAAAAAAAAAAAGAAATTAACAACGCCATGAAGTTAAACAACAGGCCACTAGATATGGTAGTCTCCATTACACAGTTACTATACAACCCCTTAAATGAAAAGCCACAAAACAAAATCAACAACGGGGGGGGGGGGGAAGAAATTTACAATGCTATGAAATTAAATAACATGCAGAATGACTAATGTGTCACTAAAGAAATTAGGACATCTTTAAGCATCATTTGTAGGGCAGGTTTGGAAGAGGCATATTTTTTTAACTTTTCTTTGCTGTGGAAGAATTTTATTTCATTTTCAAACACAAAAGAAAGCTTTGCTGGGTGTGTTATTCTGGGCCAACACGTTTTGCTTTTAGAATCTGGAATATGTTGCTCCATTCTCCTTTAGCCTGTAGAGTTTCCTGTGAGAGATCACCTGTGAATTTAATTGCTATTCCTCTATATGTCAATTGGTTTTTTTCAAGTGTGCATTTAAAGATCTTTTCCTTTAGGTATGAGAGCTTGATTATCATGTATCATGGTGAAAATCACTTTTGGTCAAGCCTGTTGGGAATTCTGTGCCCCTCCTGGATGTTGTTTCCCAACTCCTTCTCCAGGTTAGGGAAATTTTCTTTTATTATATCATTAAATATATATTTTTAAACCCAGCTTCTCTTTCTGGGACTCCCATAACTCTTATGTTTGGCCTTTTAATTGTGTTGAAGTTCTTGAATGCTTTTTTTTTTTTTTAGCTTGACCCAGCTCTGTTTCCAGCTTTTTGATTGTTTCCCCATTGTGACAAGAAATATCTTCCAATTCTGAGATTCTTTCTTCTGCTTCACTCATTCTATTGTTAAGACTTTCCAGTTAATTTGCTCTATTGCGTCCTTCATTTCCGATAATTGAATTTTGTTTCAATGTTGCTATTTCCTGTGTGATATATTTCTTAAAATGCTGCATGTGCTTCTCATTGTTAACAAGAAGCTTTATAACAGGTGTTTTGAATTCTCTATCTCCCATTTTCTTAATATATTCCTCAGTTAACTCTGAGGTTGGCTAAGGCTTTTGCACCTTTGCAAGGGAGACTTCAGTAATTTTCATCGTGTCTCTGTCTCTTCTTTTGCTCTTGGTCATTGTACTTCTGGTTAGCAGATTCTTCCCCTTGGGGTAGGTTTTCAAATTGTGCACCCAAGGTCTGCAGTTCAATTTTACTTATTGCAGTTGGTACACAATTCTTTGTTTGCAGTCACTTGTGCCACTCCCTCTAGCAAGTTTCAGATCTGGGTTCTTATGTTAAACTTCCACCACAGATGGTGGAGCCCCAACTCCTGGTTCACCTCTCTACCTCCTGTGATTCTGAGCTGGGGCTACATCGTTGTCTGTACAAGCTTTCTACCACTTCTGGTTAGAGCAATTCCAAGTATTAGGGAGACACCAGGTGTCCTAAATAGCTAGGTTGTTGGCAGTGCTGATCTTGCCAGAATCTGCTGGCCATTAGGTCTGAGGGCTACATGGACTGATTTTGAGTTATAAATTGCCAAAGTCGGTATTATTATTTTTTCTTTTTTCTTCTTTTTTGGGGGGGTGGAGGGAGGTCAACAGGCCCTGGCAAGATCAGTGGTTTTATTTTTGATGTGGGATCAGTGCAATGCACTGAGCTCAGTGAGTTCACTCCCAGCTCAGTGCATATGCAGCTCACTGTTGTCCCTGCAGTCTCAAAACCTTTGCCACACTGTACAAAATGGCACCTGATGTGCCACTCGTGGAGTTCTTGATCTGCTGGCCATTAGGTCTGGGGCCTATCGGAGCTATTTTGGGTGGAACCTGTAGGATGTCATGTTGTTGCAATTCACCGAGCCAGAAATGAGTTTACTCCCAGCTTAGTGCATGCACAGTCTTATCCATTGCCTTTTCTTCTCTCCACAAAATGACACCTGATGCGGCTCTATTGGGGTTCTTGACTGTGAAATCCACCCCGTTCCCACACTGCCTATTTGAGATCTGCTGCTCTGTCTCTCCTCTTGGCCAAATAAAACAAACCAGCAGGATAGGCAGTTTTTTTGTCTGGGTTCAACTCCTAGTTCCTGGTGAACTCTTCCCACGTGATTGCTGGTGAAGTTCCAGCCACTGATGGAATTCAGGTCACTGCTTGCTGAATGCTGCTGGGGCATCTGAGGCATTGCTTTCCTATGCCCATCAGTATCCAGGTACCCTTCTAATGCCAGTCTGTCCTTTCCTATCTCCTGGAATATGCTCTCTCCGCTTTAGTCTGGGTTATGTTTCTCTATTTAAATGTGTTATTACCCTATTCCATCATTTTGATTCTCATGACTTAACATTTTTACTGGAAAATCATACTCATCAAATTCTGGAACCAAAGATGTTATGGATGCTTCTGATGCCTATGCCCAGATGTGTCTGCCACAGTTCTTCAAGACACTGTCTTTTCTCAAGTTGTAAAAGTTGAGATGTTGGGTAAGCATTTGACTTAGCAGTTAAGACACAGGTTGGAACACTCATATTCCATATCAGAGTCCCTGGGTTGGATCCGAGCATCCTGGCAATGCACACCTTAAGAGATAGCCGATGATGGCTCAAATAGTTGGACATTGCCACCATGTAAGAGACTTGAATTAAGGTCCGGACTCCTGCTTTGGCCTGGCCCAGCCCATTTGAATTTGTTCTTTTGAAAGATGTCTATTCATTTCCTTCACCTATGGCTTCACAGGGTGGTTTGTTTTGCTTTTGTTGGATTTCTGAAGTTCTTTGTGAATCCTGGATGTTAGTCCAATATCGGCTGTGTAGTGTGCAAAGATTTTCTTCCATTCTGTTGGTTGCTTCTTCACTTTGTTGATTGTTTCCTTTGCCATTCAGAAGCGTCTTAGTTTGATGTAGTCCCATTTGTTTTGGCTTTGCCTATGCTTTTGGTGACTTTTCTAAGAAGTCTTTCCCAATTCCTGTATCTTGGAGAGTGCTTCCTATGTTTTTGCCTAATGATTTGATGGTATCTGGGTGCATATCTAGGTGCAGATTTGATTTTTGTATAAGGTGACAGGTGTGAGTCTTGCTTCTTACCTCTGCAGGCTGCTATCCAATGGTCCCAACAGCATTTGTTGAAGAGACCAGGTTTTTCCAGTTCTCTTATTGAAGATTAATTTATGTTAAAGATTTATTTCATCTTATTTCCAAAGCAGAATGAGAAAGAACGATGGGGAAAGATAAAGATCTTTTATCTACTGTATTACTACTGAAATGATCATGATGTCCAGGGCTTGAGCAGACTGAATCTAAGCCCCTGGTACTCCATTTGGGCTTCCCATGTGGGTGGCAGGGACCCAAGTACTTGGACCTCTTAGGCACGTTAACAGGGATCTGGATTTTAAATAGAACTGCCAGGCCTTGAACCAGTTCTCTGATATGGGATGCCAAGTGGGAGCTCAACCTGATGCACCAGCACACCAATCCTCCCACCTCCATTTACTATTCAACTGAATGGGCACCAACCACACTTAAATATCTTCATCAGTTGATGAACGTTTGGACAGTTTCTACTTTTTGAACTTTTGTGGATGTAATTGCTATGAATATCCATATACAAGTGCTTTTGTGCATATAATTTTATTTCTCATAGAGAGACTGCTAGGAGGCAAATTTCTGGGTCATATAATACACTTGTTTTTAACTTTTAGAAAACTGTCAAGTGTTCTCCAAAGTGACTGCATTTCATTGCTTCTTAACAGCCTCCAATATTTGCCGTACATCTTTCTCTAACTGATCTAAAATTGCACACATTTATGGGGTACTAAGCGATATTTCAGCACATGTACCCATTACATAATGTTCAGAACAGGGCGAGTGTATCTTTCTCTCC